TACTATATACCTCCCGCTTTTCAAGCGGGGGGTATAATATTAAAGTTAAACTATTTTACATTGATCACGCATGATAGTAGATACGGGGTTCTATATTTAATATTTACCTTTGAGGCATATGTTTACATTTTTAAACCGAAAGTAGATTTTATTCAGTACATAGTAAAATGGCCGATAAATCTAAATTTCGAGAATCAGTAAGACAAAAGTTTTCGAAATCTTCTAAACTATTTGTGGTTGCTATAGACTTTGGGACTACTTTCTCTGGATATGCTTACTCATCAAAGGCAGAATGGACTAAGGTTTTCACAAATAAGTGGACAGGGGGACTTCTTATATCCTATAAGGCCCCCAGTGCACTTCTCCTCAACCCAGATGAATCATTTCACTCTTTTGGATTTGATGCCGTGAACAATTATGCCTCTCTTATTGCTGATGAAGATTGTCAGGACTATCTGTTTTTCCATCGGTTCAAAATGATACTGAAGACAAGCTTAGAAAAGGTTAAATTGCTGTTTACAAGAATTTGTGTAAAATACATACGAAATATATTTTAATTTTTCAATTATGAAATGAGAAGGGTGCAGAACGTTTTAATTTTCATTTGGATACTGTATAAAAGTTAAAGGTGGATTGATTGATTGTATATTGTTTAATGTCCCTCTCGAGAATTTTTCACTCATATGAAGACGTCCTTAAAGGAGGAAGATCATAATTTCAAATTAAAGAAGCTTGTAGTAAATATTACAAAGACCATCTTCGCTAGCCAAGTGTCCGATTCGTTTCCCTCATCAGGAAACATGATGGTGGAAACCTGCAAAAATGTATGATTTTTTTTCTTTGCCAAATGATAGTTGACAGCTTAAGATACTGTATCTTAAAAATAAGTTAAATTTGGTGGTAAGTTTGTGGTTAATTTGTTGACCCCCAGCCTCCTTAAACATTTTTATGAGCTCGGATCGGTAGATCCAAGGCGTATATTAGTTTTGTCCTGTCTGTTTGACAGTCTGTCTGTTGTTTAAATATTTTTTGTATAAGTTAAATTAAACCACTTACGCATGTAGGCTTTTCAATACTAAACCGTTTTTTGCATTTTTTCTTAGGCACAGTGCTCTGGTGAGCGATGTGGTCCCTGGACCTCATGTTATTCATGTAACAATATTTTTAGAGAATTCACAGAAAAACACAATGTATAGCTGAGAATGGTAAATCTGTAGATGCCATGAAGGTCTTCACTAACTGCATCAAGTACATGAAGGATCATCTATTGGAAAAACTGCGAGATATTTCCGTAGAAATTTTTATGGAGGACATAGACTTTGTTCTTACAGTACCTGCAATCTGGGAAGATACTGCTAAAATGTTTATGCGAGAAGCAGCAGAGAATGTAAGAAAAATATTGTGATTTAAAAATAGTTCACTTTATACCGCAGAACCCTTAAAAATACTGAGATGTATACTTTTCCAATCTCTACCCAGAGTTATTGTTCCACTTATACGAAGCGAACGACAACTCTGGATAGAGATTGATACTTTTCAAGTACATAACATTTTCATACAAATAGGACTTTTTACTATCTTTAAGCTAATACGAGGGCCGTTCAAAAATTACGCGGAATTAAAAAAATACACAGAAAATTTGACGACATAATCGGGCAAAATGTCACACATAATATAAAGGAATATTTACTTATATGTTCTTCAAAATTTCATATCAAAATATTGTAAATTGGTATCAATTTTGATTGATTTTTTAGGACATATTATTAAGTCAAGGAGCAGCAAAATCTTCGACGTCACAGACATTATAAAAAAAAATATGTGATTGATCTCTCATTTTCTCAACATTTTTCCAAGAGTATCTATTCAGTTTGCGTTACCTTATCTACTCAACATCCAAACATTATTTCTTGTCAAGCTTAATATCTATTAAACAAGTAAAAATATTCATTTTTTTGTTTTAAAACCCAAAACTGTCGGTATTTATGAGACATAGTGTGATATTAGTGATTTTACAGTCCGGATGAAGTTTTTGTCGAAAATCTTCTTCCCGTCCTCCCGTATGTATGATTCAATGTTCTTCAAAGTTTTAACAAACGGTATTTAAAAAGTTGACATTTGTACCTCATAAAATGGAGTAAAATTTGCATATTTAAAAAAAAAATCAAATTTCTTTTAATTTAGCCTTAGTTACCAATGTTTATATGCATGATTTGAAATTAGAAGTTATTAACGATGTTTTCTTTGAAAGGAAACACTTCATACACTATGCATTATGAAACAATGGAAGTAAATGGGAGAAAGTAAAGTCCAAATAAGTGTAAAATTCATGCAATTTTCTTTAAAAGCCTGGATACCTATGATTTTTATTCCTAAAATGTATTTATTGATTAATTATCAATTAAAAAATATGCAGTAGGTAGTTCAAATCGCATTTCCTGAAAAAATATTTGAGATTTACTAATTTTCCCTATATAATGTGATTAAATTTAAAGATGAATTTTAAAGAAACACCGTTGGTAAACACATTTCAATTTGCGAATTTAGAGACATCTTTGTGAGCATTTTCAATTACTCAATGCCTGATTTTCAGAACCTGAGGATCGGATAACCTTAACAAAAGTGTGGTGCGCCGTCAATTCAGGAGACGTCATTTTCACAGTCGTTTTCACGGGAATCGCATCAGAGAAAAACCACTATATTTCTGTTAATACTTCAAATATCACGTCTGAAATCTAAATACATAATAATAGAACCATTAAAGGTACATTTGAGAAAATTGTTGGAAAATATCGCGAATTATAGAAAATAAATGAGTTAAATTTTGCATTTCGCATGCTTTTTCTTTTAATTTTTTGTCGTGCTCCGTACCTCTCCATCAGCGATATCAACATACCGATAATTTTAGTAGAATTTTTTTGAAATACAGAAGTTTTGCCCAAAATATTTTGGAATCTTTAAGATAAATATTTCTGTGGAATTTCATAACTATATGACGTCTGTAAGAGTAAATAATAGCACAGTCCGCGTAATTTTTGAACGGCCCTCGTACACATGTAGTTTTCCAAAAGATTTAAAATTCATTAAATGACAACGACACACAAGGAATTATTTTTAATTTCCAAGTGAAGTGGTTAATGTCCCTTACTTTAGCTGCAGATCTGTAGCTCTCCGAAAAAAAAATATATATTCATAGACCGGAGATCTGTAGCTCTCCGAAAAAAAAATATATTGATAGACCGGAGAGCTACAGTGCCACCCATTGAAAAAACTGTATATTTATTGCGCACAATAAAGTGCGCTCGGTTATCGATTTATTTCTCCATGTTTTCAAAATGTGATCTCAAAATATAACTAACTGTATGTTCCTAATATATTCTTTTGCTGTTTCCACAACCAAACATTTCTTAGAAATGTCGTTGATAGTCCTCATGACCCTAATTTTGTAATCATAGAACATTTCGCTTATTTATGCTGCCATTTTGGTTTCAAAGATAATTTGGTCCAATGTGGGAAAAGAATTTTTTTATAATTCCCCTTTTTTGCAACTGAGGTAAGAATTAGGAAGAATTAATCAAGGACTGAGTGCACTTTTTTGTGCGCAATAAACATACAGTTTTTTCAATGGGTGGCACTGTGGCTCTCCGGTCTATCAATTTATTTTTTTCGGAGAGCTACAGATCTGCAGCTACCCTTACTTATGTTGCAATATATCTTCATCACCTGCATGTGGACATGTTTATATCTCGCATTTGGTTCAATACGCAAGAGCAAGCTTTTCGTATTTGTATAATTTCTATAAGAGGATGAATTATGTGGCAAACAAGTTAATGTATATATAACAGGAATATCAGCAGTCTCGTTTAAAGTCATCATTTCGTAAGATCTATGGTTGATACAGTTGACAGCAAATACAATTTATCATTGAGTCAAATGTTGACTGACGTTTTTCAAACTAATTGTTGGTAAATTATTTACACACTGAATCGACGACAGATTTACCGTCATTTCTTGATAATTAATGACAAGGAGCACATTACGGTTGTGACCGTACTGCTGGGGATGTTCACTCCTCCATGGTACTTGAACCCACCTCTGATGTTTAGAATGTCCACGTTTGCTCTGCTCTTATTTTGTATTGTTTAATGGACTTTTGAGCTTGAATACTATTCGTCATCTCCATGAACTTCATATCATAAAATACTGGTTTTCTTAATATCCTGTCTCACAGATATTCTTCCATTTATTTCGCTAATGTTGTTACTTAGGCTGGGATAAAAAGTGACCAGTTGAGGATAGCCCTGGAGCCTGAAGCAGCGTTAATTTACTGTCAGCTGATGCATTTAGAATCGAAAGAAAACAGCATAATCTTTTTGGCTGGTCAAGAGAAAAAATCTAAATATTTAGTCCTTGATCTTGGCGGTAAGATGTTTTCTTTTTAATATAAATATAAATATAAATAAAAGTTATATTTTAGGGGATTTGATTAAAGAAAGGATCTATTGCAGTTTCAATTTCATTGGAAAAAGGGGGGTATGAATGATTTTTTTAAATTATCAAAATTCCACCATAAAAATAGGTAGAATATTATAGATGTGATTATCATTCTTGGAGTCGTTTATAAAAAAAGTCTTCCTATATAAATGTATAGCGGGCGTACCGGCGTAGTACTTGAAATAAGTTGGAATGGGATATTCAGATTGTCAAATTGATGGCCAACCAATTAGTAGAAGATATGTAAAATTACGTAATGTCGAGAACTGGACCTGATACTCATATGCGTCCTCACACCTGTATACTCTATAAGGTGCGATTACCAGCCCTTAACCACGGTTTATTCCCCGAATGTCTACTACCTATATAAACAGTATAATTATCACACTATAACGCCCTTCGGGCGTTATAGAATTTGATCACATGACCGACTTCATGTCACATCCCAATGACACTCTAAAAATGATACCTTATTTCTTAAATAAGGAGTAGACGTTCAGGCACCTAAACCGAAATAAGATCAGCAAAAAATGTCGTATAACATCTTTCAATTTTACAGCGATCGTATTCAAACAGTTGTTCATACTTATTATATGTTATTGATTTGTTTTAATTTCAAATAAAAGTAATTTAAAAAAAATATATGAATTATACGGAAGCGTATTAGTTCCACTTAATTTTTTGAAGTTGGTAATTCCAACTTTAATCTTGGCTTTTCCAACTTTTAAATGGTTAATTTCTATGGAACGCCAAATTAACATATAGTCAAATGTTTGAACTTATCTTCAAATAATTGTACCTTTCTTGAAACTTTAAATGAATTTAAGATAAGTACAATTAAATTAAAGATAGGTACAATTGAATTAAATATAGCTACAATTGAATTGAAGATAGGTGTAAATAATTATACATATCTCTAATAATTATACCTAGGTATACAAATAAATTGCAATACCTATATTTAATGGAATTACACCTATCTTCAACAGGCACGAAGCATCGTTTTTAAAAGAGGAAAGTTGTCCAAAGTCAAAAATCCTTTTTCGTGGAAGGGGGGTGGGGGTGGGGTAGTGGCCAACTTTTTTCAATGTCAAGTTCTTTCAGCTTTCAGTACCAATTTCTGAACATTCAATACTACCTTTTCATTATATGATTTTTTCTATTATATGAATTTCCTGTAATATACAAGGGGGGGGGGGGGGGCTGGCCCCCTTGCTGCTACGTTCCTGTTCAATCCAATTAAATATAGGTTCTATTGAATTATACCTATCACTAATTCGTTTGAGGATAGGTACAATTCATTTGAAGAAAGTTTCATTTAAGACATATCAACAAAGGAATTAAAGATAGGTACAATTCAATTATACCTAGGTTCAATTCGTTTTGTGTTGTTGGAAAATAATGAACGCTCACTTGGAGACAATATTGAGGATGGAGGGAAACGCACAGAACCTACATTGCGACGACAACAAGGATGATAGGAGGAATAAGGGTTAATTTAAAATGTGCAAACACATGTATATATCTCATGTAGGTATATTAAGATTCCGGTAAACTTTCGCGCCAGTCGTGACGATCGGATATGACGAATGATAAAGGGAGTATTTATTATTGCCAATATCTTAGTAATTAAAGATAGGTTCAATTCATTTGTACCTATCTCTAAATCAATTATACCCATCTTTATTCATTGCATTTGTACCTTTCATCAAATCAATTGTACCGATCTTCAAATGAATTAAAGAAACTTAAGGTATAATTGAATTGTACCTATCTCTAATTCATTTAAATTTGGCGTTCCATAAATTACAATTAATTAATTAAATTAAATTTAATTTAATTTAATTAAATTAATTAAAGCTGGATTTTTCAACTTTAAATTAGATAATTCCAACTTTCAAGTTGGTAATTCCAACTTTAAAGTTAGTATTTTCAACTTTAAAGTAATAGGATTGCCAACTTTAAAGTTGGAAAAGCCAAGATTAAAGTTGAAATTACTAACTGACATGATGAAACAACACACTTTTAGGTGAGACTGCAGATTTTACCGTTATTGAGCAGGAGGCGGATGGTACTTTCGCGGAGGTGATTCCAGTAGGTGGAGGTCCGTGGGGCGGAAATCGTTTGGATCGAGCATTCCATGGTATTTTAGCAGAACTGTTCGGTGAGGATGTCATGCGGAGATTTAGAACTGAACCTGATTTTGCTGAAGATTATATAGATTTTTTTCAAAGTTTCGAATTGAACAAAAGGTTTTTTGAACCAAGAAAAGATGAATTAGTCCATTTTCCTTTGCTTGGACTCCGTGATTTAGTAAAGGCTATCAATAAAGGCAAAAAAAATTCACCCAACATCACTATAGAAGAAATCATTAAAAATTCAAGATTCAAAGATGATCTGCATGCTAGTTTTCAGAAACTACACATAAAAAACTCTTTCTTTGAGCAAATGATTGTTCGAATAGTAAATTTACTTACTGACAATTTAGCCGATCTTTACAAAAATATTAGAGGAGGTTTAGAGGCAATTCTTATGGTTGGGGGGTTTTCAGAGTGTACCATTGTCCAGGAAGCTGTCAGGGATTTCTTTAAAGACAAATGTAGAGTGATTATCCCAAGTGAAGCTGGCATTGCCGTCCTGAAGGGAGCTGTCTACCTGGGTCATCAACCACATCTTATCTCGGAACGTGTGGCGAGTCATACTTATGGAATCCAAATTTGGCCAAAGTTTGATAAAACACTTCACATGAATTCAAAGCTTGTTAGGATGGGAGATGAAAATAGATGCAGAGATGTATTTTTCCGATTTGTTACAAAGGGAGAAAAAATTAAACCAGAAGAAAATTCTTGCATATTCAAGGTATTGAAACCAGAAGAAAGCATGCTAGAAATTGGCGTATTCATTTCAGCTGACAATGACCCTCGATATGTTGATGAGAATGGTTGTGTAAAGCTAGGGCTTCTGGAACTTCCACTTCAAAGTACTGGAGAAGATGAAAATTTAGAAATCGAAGTTGCTTTCACATTCGACCATTCAGAACTACAGGTTAAAGCTTACAATTTTCAAACCAACAAAGAATATGAGGTTACTTTTGATTTACTCTCCAGGTAAATGGTTTTTTGATTTCAAAGGAGCACATCTGTTGGAAACTGTATTTACATGTAAACATGTATCTGGAACAAATGACTTCTTAATCAGTTGCATTTAAAGCTTTGTTTTTAAAGAAAATGCAAAAAAGGAACGACAACATAAAGTTCCATTCAAGGAATGGGTGGACTTGACGCCCTATTTTGGATCTTTTTGAGACTCTAATAAGTTGAAAATACGAGGGGCATTTCAAAAGTTCTGAGAACTGTTTAATAAAAAATTAACCGTTTCACGGTAATTATTGAGTTTGATATCATTGGAAAGATCAGAAAAATATACACATATTGTGACGTCACTTTATAATTTTTATGAGGTAATAACTGAGAAAATGACGTCATAATTCCGTATGCTCACGATACTGGCAATAAAAATGACGTAACAAAAGACATTATTTGATCAAATTAAAATTTTAAAAACAACTTTTGCTCATTACTCGGGCGCAAGCTATCGGACGCAATTGCAAGTTGGTGGAATGTTTACATAGACTACAATCTATCATTTGGTGTTCTATTTCGCCGATCTTCTTGTTCTGAAATGGTTTTAGCGATTGTCAAACATCGCATATTTTTATCGAATCTCGCTCAAAATATTGCGTAAAACAGACCTAACTGTGAGAAAAAGGAAAAGTTGAGAAACAAAGAAAAATAGACGATCATGTTACAAACTTTGATGGCATCAATTCGTCAGGTGTTTTAACGAGATTTGAGGGGTTGATGAAGGCTCAAGAGAAGTTAAAATAAGTGTGCCCCATATTTCCTCGTAAAATCCAAAATGGAGCGGGCGCAGTTGAAACCCCACCGTACCTCCATATATTCGCAAATTTTAAGTCATGGAAATTGAATAAGATTTTACATGTCTGTGAAGCTTATAAACCTTTTTTGGAGTCAAAAGTCAAAAGCAGCAATGAGTTCTTGGGCGCCGAATTTAAATCAATTAGAAAAAATACGCAAAGAAACAAGTCAGGGGCAAGACTTTTAAAAATTTTATTTGTAAACGGCGAGAGTGTTGTTACTCAAAATACATTTGTTGAAAACTGCATAAATATACTTCATTTTTATATAGAAAATGTTTAATTTCATACAGTGGAGAGCTTTATAAACGACCGAAAATCCAGTCGTATCATGTAACTTAAAATCTTAAATGAATGCCGATGATTGCAAAACTGGGCATAAACCGTGCAAGGAAACAAACCATACAATGAAATATGGAATTCTTGATAAACGGTACCTTAGTCCTACTCTACTACTGTGCAAAAAAAATTTTTCTTGGAAATATATTTTCAAATAAGTCTTTGGCAGAACTTTTAAAATTGTCTAATGTGGATAAAAACGCGACTTTTCAGTATGCTAAACATTCTATACTATGACGTCATTTTCTCAGATATTACGTCATAAAAATTACAAAGTGACGTCACGATATGTAAATATTTTTCTGATCTTTCCAATGATATCAAACTCAATAATTTCCGTGAAATGATTAATTTTTTATTACACAGTTCTCAGGACTTTTGAAATGCCCCTCGTAAAGTGAATCCAAAATATATTACAACCATTATAGAAAGAGCGACGTATACATGGTTATTTTAGCTAGAACATTTGTACAAAAACAATGCCTTATTGCTATGAATCAAAATTGAAATAAGGATACAATAGTGTCGTCTTCCGGATTTTGACATGTACCCGGAGTGGCTTTTAGGATGCGCTATCAATATTAATAGGAGGTGGGTCTATCGATCGGTGTCATTGTTGACATTTTTCTCTCTCTCCATCTTTCTCTCTAGAAATTCGAATACGTGTTTGGAATATTACAGCGATGTCATTATGATTTTTTTTAAATGTGAGGACACGCAAAATTAAATCAACATTTAATGTGCTAAATTCTGAAAACGGCACCAAACATAATGGATTACATTTAGGTCAGGTTGAAGAATACAATGTAACTGTTTCCACGAGTACACTCGCAGGTGGACATCACGTGATGAATTGTAATATTTAACAGGTCAATCGAAGTCGTAACAATGGAAGCGAGAAGTTTGTTTGGAATATGTTTTTTGTTAAATCAAGTGTGAGCGCACGTTTGTCGACTCTTTTCCTTTTAATATGACATTATTTTGTTCAATATACAACTACAGTTTTCGTAAGAACAGCCGACAAACATGCGCTGACTATGTATTCAGACGATGAAAAATGCGTGACCCTGATTATCTATTGATATTCAACAAATCTTCAGGCACCATGCCTTCGATATTTATTTAGTTTACCTCGAAAAGAGCATTTTAAATTCACATCCGTACCATAAACACAGTTAAGATATCGGGGGTTTATAAGATGGAAAAAATTAACATTTTATGGAACTTAAATTTGCAGCATTTTTTCTGTCTAGTTAAGTCCATCCATTCATTTTGATTTTTAGTCACCAAACTGTATTTCATATACCAATTTTCTTAATATTATTTTTCATTAGTAAGTTTTATCAAATATTAATTAGACATTTAAAATATTGAATTAATATTTTTTTCTTCTTCCTTTGAATCTAATTAATTTTTTTTTAAATCTGTGAGGATAAACCAACATACTCCAATGTACTAGTATATTTTGAATGACCTAAATAATAGCTTTGATTATTAACATTAATAATAAATATTTTTTATGTGTAGTCGCATATTGTAAATATTTCGCAATTTTTCAAATATACTTTTTTTCTTCATTTTTTATATGAATAATGCTTAATTCTTTGTTTGGGAAAAAATTCTGCTTTGCGTGTTATGAATAGGTCACATGTGTCACTCAGGTGACCTATTTCTATCTTTTTTCGTCCGTCGTGTTTTACATTTACATACGTTTTCAGCTTCTTCTCTGAAAGGAACCAATTTTGGCATATAGCATTTATGTGTGAAGGGGAACACCGATTTCGAAATTCATGGACCCTGCCCCCTTTCTCTACACCCAGGTGGAACTTAAGGGGTGGGGCTAAAGCCAACAAAATTGATGCAATTTTTATAAAAATCTTCTTTGCTCCTGGATATTAAGCAGTAAAACTGTCAGTATTGTAATAAGCATTGAGCCCTCTACCTAATTTGTGAAATTCATGGCCCCAGGGTCAGGGGTGGGGCTCTGTTAAATATATAATAAAAATGCATTATTTCTTTTAAAATCTTCTTTGCTCCTGGTTTTTAAGCTGATAAACTAAGTGTATGTGTTATGATGAGAAAGGGTGCATCTTCCAAAATTGTGAATTTCATGTCCCCTTGGTCAGTGGTTCTGGTCTTAGGGAGGGGCTCTGTTGAATTCATAGTGAAAACGCAATAATTCTTTACAAATCTACTCATTGTCTAGATATCATTAATTAAAAAGTGCTTGGTTAAGATAAGCAAGAATGCTTCTTCCAATTTTTTTTTTATAAATCTCATGGCCTTTGGCTCAGGGGTTCTATTGTTCATATAGTGAATGTCCATTAATGTTTTTAAAATCTTCTATTCTGTTTCTGGATATTTTATCAATTAACAATTTAACAATGTTATGATGAGAAAGGGTGCCTCTACAAGAACTGTGAATTCTGGTGTTAGGGCGGGGCTCTATTGATTCTATAGTGAAAATGCATTAATTCTTAGAAAATGTTCTCGTCTGTTCCTGGGTATTATACCAATAACTTTAGCATATACTTTTGATGAGCAACTGCCAAGGATGCTTCTTCCAGAATTATGATTTCAAGGTCCTTAAGTCAGGTGTTCCAGGAGGGTGGGGGTTGGGGGGGGGGGGCTCAAATGACTATATGCTGAAAAATAACTTAATGCTTTGAAATCTGTTCCTTGGTATTAATCAAACATTTATGATGAGTAAGGGTGCCTTTTTTAAAATTGTGAAATGTGTAGCCTTAGAGTCAGGGGTTTCTTGTGGCACTATACTGATTAAATAGTGAAAAACATTTTTTCTTTGTTCCTCGATCTGCTTCACTTTTTGTTATTAAAAATCAAACTAAGAATGCTATTTGTATAATTAGGATGAGCAATGGTGCTTTCAAACTTGTGAATTTCGAGGCCTCTCATGGTTTAAAGCACGAACCAAATTCAATTGTTGGGAAGTTGATATATGATACTCAGGTGCAGGGGCGGATCCAGCAATTTTTGAAAGGGGGGGTTCCAGGTTTGTGTCCCTCTAACACTCCCCCCCCCCCTTTACACACTCTCAGGCAAAGATTCACATACACACACATGTATGGAAAAATATAAGATTGTGGAAAATAATATCTTTGTTCTACGTCCTTTTTTCTTTGACAAGGTACCCCCAGTCGGTATTTAAAAAAGATCAACACATATAATAAACTACTGAAGCCTTATAATTGAATGGATTTGCAGCATTTCCGAAGAGTAGAATGAATTTTCTTAAAGAATTTCAAAATCCTTTTTGGGTTGGGTATAAAGCAATGAATTGAAATTTAGTTACTTCATAAGATTTAGTTTTAAAAAAAAAGGCACCTGCCAACACAGCCAAATTAAGATCGCAGGATGTTACATATCATATATAAGATATATAAAAAATAAGTAGAATATTTTCTACTATTCTCTCATAAAAAGTAATTTAGTGAAATAGAATATGGAAAAACTAAATGTGTGAGAATCTATCTATTCAATACATATTTAAGTTAGACGTACAGATATTTATTCTCGGAATACGTTTTATCCCCCTTCTTTCTCTCTCTTTCTCCACTTGGCAAAAAATAAAGGGGGGGTTCCAACCCCCGGAACCCCCCCTCTGGATCCGCCAATGAGGTGATTTATGTTGCTATTGATGATCTTGTTGTTATTTATGTTATTCTTATGCAAATCTTAATAGAATCGGTAAGATGAAGCAGAAATACCTTTCTAAATCTTAGTAAGTGTTCGATTATGAATTCGTTTATTCCTACCATACACCTCATACAATTATACATTTACCAGGATATATGATTGAAGTAAAAATTTTTCTTCTGCTCTAGTTTTGATTGTGTCTCTTGTTACTTTCAAGTTTTAAACTTTTGTAAACGACCTAGTACCTTGAAACAAGGGATGGTTCTTAAATACGTAACATTGCCTGCAGTCTGTTCCCTCCTTAAACAATT